CCTTTGGTTTTCGGGGTGTGACAGTAGGTACTTGAGGATATTCTTTACCGCAGTCCAGTGTGCCTTACCAGGGTTCCCTGATACCTGCTAACCATGCTCATGTCAAAGGCTACATCAGGTCGAGTACATGTAATAGCATACATGATCGATCCTGCAGCCGAAGCATAAGGTACTTGACTCATTTCTGCTATCTTAGCCTTGGTACTTGGGCTTTGTCTCTTAGTTAATCTGGCGTTACTTTGGATGGGTAAGTCTCCTTTCTTGGAGTTTTGCATGTTGAATCACTTCAACACCTTGTCCAAGTAGGTAGTTTGACTAAGTCCAATTAGTCTTTTACTCCGGTTTCTCAAAATCCTTATCCCTAGAATATAGGCTGCTTCTCCTAGGGCCTTCATAGAGAAACACTTCCCAAGCCAGGACTTAACTTCTTACAGAGTTGGGATGTCATTTCCTATGAGTAGTATGTCATCCACATACAATACCAAAAAGCTAACTATACTCCAACTAGCCTTGACATACACACAAGATTCATCTTCACTCCTAGAAAAGCCAAATTCCTTGACTTTCTCATCAAAGAAGATATTCCATCTGCGAGGTGATTGATTTAATCAATAAATGGATTTTTGAAGCTTACACACTCTATTAGCGTACTCGTTGCTGACAAAACCTTCTGGCTGACTCATGTAAACATCTTCAGTGAACTTTCCATTAAGGAAAGCGGTTTTGACATCCATTTGCCATATTTCATAGTCACGAAATGGAGCTATGGCTAACATAAACCTAATAGACTTAATCTTGGCTACTGGAGAAAAAGTCTCATCATAATCCACTCCAGGAGTTTGAGAGAAGCCCTTTGCAACCAGTCAAGCCTTATAAGTGTGTGCATTACCATCCATGTCGGTCTTCTTCTTGAAGATCCATTTGTACCCTATAGTCTTACAACCTGGTACATTCTCAACCAAGTCCCAAACTTGATTGTCATACATGGATTGTATCTCGCCATCCATAGCCTCTTTCCATTTAGCAGACTCAGGGCCTGCCATGGCTTCTGTGTAGCTGTTAGGTTCATCCAGACCTACTAGTGTCTCATCACTAATAAGTGTCTCACCTTCCGCAGTAATATGGAAACCATAGTAATGCTCAGGTGAATTCCTAACTCTTGTGGAACGCCTCAGTGGTACAAAATCGTCAATTGGCTCAACAGGAGTTTCCTCCTCAAGTTGAGGGCTAGGGTTTGAAGTTCCTTCACCACTTGACTCTTGAAGTTCTTCAAGGGCAATTTGCCTCCCACTATCTATGTGGCTTATAAACTCTCTCTCTCGAAAGACTCCTCTTCTTGCTACAAAGACTACATTATCACTAAGTCTGTAGAAGAGGTAACCAAAGGATCTTTGTGGGTAGCCGATGAAAATACACCTCTCGCTTCGGGGTTCTAGATTATCATGAGACTCGCGCCTCACAAATGCCTCGCAACCCCAAATCTTGATGTGGTCTAGTTTGGGTACTTTACTAGTCCACATTTCGTGAGGAGTTTCGGCAACTATCTTTGTAGGGACTAGATTAGGAATATGGGTGGCAGTCTCTAAGGCATACCCCCAGAATGAGATTGGTAGCGAAGATCGACTCATCATGGAACGAACAATATCCAACAAGGTTCGATTACGCCTCTCAGCCACACCATTCAACTGCGGTGTCCTGGGAGGTGTCAATTGTGAGACAATCCCACATTCCTTAAGATAGTCGAGGAACTCTGAACTAAGATACTCACTACCTCGATTGGATTGAAGCATCTTAATGTTCCTGCCCAATTGATTCTCGACTTCCTGTTTAAATTCCTTAAACCTTTCGAAAGTCTCTGACTTATGCTTGATTAAGTAGACATATCCATATCTACTATAATCATCAGTAAAAGTCAAATAATAACGATTAGCATCCCTTGTGGCATGTTTGAATGGTCCACACACATCCGTGTGCACAAGATCCAACAAACCTTCACCCCTCTCACAAGAACCTGTGAAGGGTGACTTTGTTATTTTTCCAAGTAAGCATGATTCGCAACTATCATCAGACTTTAGGTCAAATGACTCCAAGACTCCATCCTTTTGGAGTTGGCCTATGTGTTTCTTGCTTATATGTCCAAGACAACAATGCCATAATGATGTTTTATCCAAGTTATTATTATTAACAGAATCAATACACAATACATTATTTCCTAAGTTATCAACCATAGATACAGTTTCATACATGTCATCACAAGGTACTGCTTTAAAATAAAGACCATTATTAAAGAAAGCATTAATCGAACCAACTTCATTATCAAATGAAAAGGTGAAACCTGTTGGATTAATGTCTAAGTCCATAACTATAATTGGTAAGACTTGACCCGACCCGACATGGTCCATTTAAGTTGCATGGTATCATGCACTTGGATAGACTATAATGAGAGAAATAACACTTATGGTTGATTAATATATTATAAGTTCTAATATATTAATAGGATTATTTAATTAGTATTGATCAAGAATTAATGTTCAATTAATTAAATGATCAAAAGAAGACTAATTAAATATATGGGTTGATTGTGTAAATTATCCATACTTGTATAGTGGGCTAACGCTCCATGGATAATCAAGTTCGGTTAAAACCCATAGGATGGTCCATGGATGCTCCATGGTGTATTTGAACCCATGGATCCAAGGAAATGGAAGGTCATGAAAATTAGGGTTTACCCTAATTGTAACAACTATATAAGATCATATTCTTTGGGAAAAATTGGACACTATGAAGAATAAGAAAGGGCTAGCCGATTTTAGGAGTGTTCAAGTTTCTCTCAAGTTATTCCAAGTGTATTTGGTGTTGTGTGAACCATTTGAGGTGTCACACTTCAGGCACTAGGCACTCAAGCTTCATGAAGATATTCTACATCAAAGAGGTATGTATTCTATCTTGTTATATTCATTATTTTGTATGCTAGTTTAGGATAATACCTTGGATGATCATAATTGCAAAACTGCTTAAAAAATCGAAGGAGTTTGCTGTCTGTTCATCAGACTCGACGAGTCCATGCCTAAAAAGTGATCAAAACGATCCAACTCGCCGAGTTGGTTCATGCACTTGATGAGTTGGAACCCCAGACAACATAAATTTGACTTTTTTGGCTGGAATTGGACTAGGAACATTACCCTAAGATGTTTTTGGACTTATAAACTTGTTTTTGATGTGGTAATGTTCATGCTAATCCAATTTCAAAGATAATTGTCAATAGATTCATGTTTTGTATTAGTTTAAGGTTTAGACTAATTACATGAAAAAGATTGATTTGAATTATCTTGTTCTTATGAGTTGCTTAGATTAATAGGGAATTATGTGAAATTGTTGTTTTCAATCCAAATTAATCTAAGATTTGATTCTAAAATGTGTTTTTGTAACTTGTCCTCAAGTTATATGAAAAGTCACATTTAAGTTTCATAAAACTCATAAAAGTTGGCAATGGTTACAAAAAAATGAAGAGTCTTGTCATTATGTTATGGAGGTTCAAGAATCACTTCATTAAGTAATAAATATGTAACCTTAATTAATTCCATAAGTTACAAAATAAAGAAAAAGTTACATTCTTTAAATAATTTAAAGTCTTCCATAACTTGTCCTCAAGTTATGGAACTTGAAGAGTTTTTTAATTAACACTACTTTAAACACATAAGTTATGGAATTAATTAGTTTTGATTAGTTTCAAAACTTCCCCTCAAGTTTTGGAATTTGAAAAGTTTTCTCTTATGAATACTTTAATTCCAAGTTAGCCATTAGAATTTTAAAAGTTAAAATTCAATCCTTATACTTTATAATATTATAAGTTAATAATATTTATATATATGTATAAGAGTAAAGTCAGTCTTACCGTTAGTAGGCCTCATTCACGAAGCCGGTCTATAAGGGAGTATAAGGTTACACTACTAGAAAAAATCCCTTTAATGATGCGCAAACAATGACACTCGCTGATAGATGACGCGTATTGGTGTGTGCCCTATAAAATAATGTCAATTTTGCAAAATCTGAACGATAGTGGACACGCATTTGTGCGTGCCCTAAAATTAGTGTAAGAAAAGAAAAAAAAAAAGAAATGCGAAGGGCACCTTTCATAAAGTGTGCGTCCTCTAAATGTGTCACTTTATATTTTTTTGCCTAAACGCGCGTTTTTAAAGGGGGAAAACGAAATCGTCTGAAATTCTAAAATTTTGAAGAACCCCGCTTCTACCCTCTCTCCGTAATATCTCCCTTTTCATTCACTCCTTCCTACTCTCTGTAAACCCTAAGCCATCGCCACTGCCACCACCATTGAACCTTAAAAACTCAATCCACACTAGAATCCTACAATAGAACCCTAATAATCCTTTTGAATCAGCACATCCTTTTGAATCAGCTTGTCTTCCTTTACCTCTGCACTCTCTCTCCATCTCTCTCTCTCTCTCTGTAAGCCCAAAGCTGCCACCACCAACATCGAACCCGATAAGCTTTAAGAGTTTGGAGTGCATCTAGAAACCTAAGCACACACTTCCGCCATCTCAAGATACCGGTTCAAGATCGGAACGCCATGTCGTAGTCCACGATGCCATCATCGTCTCCACAAACTGCCATCAATGGCTGAGAAAACAAATGTAATTGGGTCTGGAATGAAATCAAAGCCAAAGCTCGCCATCAACCTAAGCACGCACTTCTGCCTTCTCCTCCAACCCATCTCTCCTCTCCGCCACCGTCACTGACCTACACGCCGCCTGTCAAGGAGACCCATCTGATCCTACTCCTTCTTGGTTCACTCCCAAAAGGTACATTCTTCATGTATCTTCTCTCACAAATAAACTGTTTCTTCTTTCTGTCTTCACTTTGACATCCCTGCAACTTCAAGGCTTCAATCAGGTTTCATTATCTTCTCCTTATATAATGATTTCTTGTTTTTGTTTCTTCTACATTCTACCCTAGCTCCAGAGAAACTTGCTTGGTGTGGAATGGACAGTGTATTGCTGTATTGGGATGATATGCTTCTGATTATGGGCCCTTATGGAGATCCAGTTCGCTATCTTGATGATGAACCCATTATCCTTATCCCAGAGTGTGATTGAGGTAGGATATTGTCTAACTTAAACATGGAGTTTCTTCAATAGGAGGAATTTCCTCATCCTCTATCCCGTGTCAAGCAATTAGCTGGATATAGAGTAAGTTCAATCATTAATATTAGTAGTTCTTTTAGTTTCTATTACATAATTAACTTTTGTATTTTACATGTGTTGTTGCAGTTTTCATATCAGATAGGTGACTCTTTAATCTGGCTTGGAATTCGAGACATGATAAATGATGTTTGGAAGAAAAAGTTGAATCTGAAACCTATCACTTATTTTAGTGGTTCTCAAGGCTCTAAGAATGATAGTCCACATGGATACATATGGAGTCCTCATCTTGTTCCTAAACCAAAAGGTAAATTTTCCCTATATTAACTATTTATTAGACTTTATTATATGAGATGGATTAATCAAATCATAATATTAACAGATTGGGGACCTAAAATTTATGTGGTTGGATTTTGTTACCTTGATCTCACATCAAACTACAAACCCCCTGAGGAACTTGTATGCTGGCTTGAAGCTGGCCCAAAGCCAGTCTACATTGGCTTTAGTAACCTTGTGAGTTTTCTTTATCCATATACTTCATTCTTTTATGCTTTTTATAGTTTATATGATATATAAAAAAAAGTAATCTAACTTAATATTAGTGTCACTTTAGATATGATTAATATTAGTTTTCTTTATCCATATCATCTGTGGTGAGTCATTGCTACCGCTTTATTTTTGGAGGTTCTATTCAACAGCCATATTGTTTACATGTTGAACCTTGATACAAACACTTTCACGCATATAGTTCGCTCACTAGAATCCGGATTAAAAGGCCTTGCCCAACAAATCAACAATCATTTGTTTCAGATGTTCTTGACCCATGATATTAATATAAAAACCCAAGTCCAACCAGTTTTCTTAAAATGTCGAAAAGATCACAAGACAAGTATCTTTTTAACACATGATTATATAATAATAATAACATCAGCAAGACTAGAAACCAGCTCGTCCAGCAGGTCGGGAAGTCGACTTACTTTCTCTGTTTTTTAACTCCTCCCCAGAACAAGTACAAATGCAGCAGGTTGGTTTTGGTGTTAATTCACCTATCTTTTCTTGATCACATCCTTTTCACTGTTATATAGTGTATTAATTAATTTGCTCTTAAGGTGCAAATCCTATGAGAAAATCAGAAAGAAACTGATGTTATTGGAGGCTCCTAATGTGCTTACTATTTCATTGAAGAGATTTCATGTAATATTTTTTACCAAAAGATATTTGTGCAAGTCTTATTATGTTACTGAATTTGATTGTATTACAGTGTGCTAAATTTGGGAAGCTGAACAAATCGGTTAAGTTCCCAGAGATTTTAGACATGGCTCCATATGTTAGTGGGTCAAGTGATAAGTCGCTAGTTTACAGGCTTTATGGGGTGGTGGTTCATGTAGATACAATGAATGATGCCTTTTCTGGTCATTATGTTTGCTATGTTAAGATTCATCACAATCAATGGTTCAAATTTAACGACACCATGGTATGTATTCACCATTTTTTTTCTAAAATACCACCTTTCATTTCTTATGCTTATGCTTATATGAGTTATATCATGTCAATGTAGGTGAACGAGGTGGATCTTCAACAGGTATTAACAAAAGGCGCATGCATGCTCTTTTATGCAAGGTATTTTTATCTTTTTTTTATTTATTTTATTTTATGTTATTAGTCAAGCAATTTCATTTTTTTTGTTTGCTTTGTTTTTTAGATGCTCCCCACGGACCCCACGATCAATACGTACGTCAATAATCCAGCATCAAGATGCACGAAAACACAAAACTTTCGTTCACTCCACTAAACCTTGGCAGGCTTGCAATTACCAGCCGACTTCTTATCTTGGTTACCGATACTGGGGTCTGGAGTAGGAATCTTCCTCCTCCAGTGACAACTCGGGGTTCTTCTCAGACTCATGTTCTTGCAGCACAGATAACAACACCCAAAAGGATTCCAGTGATCACATTCCGGGTGAGTGGGAACATGATTAAGCAGTTATTTATGTGTTACCTAGAGAGAGAGAGAGAGAGAGGAAAAGGTCGGTGCAATTATTTATGTGTTACCTAAAGAGCTATCATATCGATAGGGGCCAACGAGGGTTAGATTATGTCCTGATGGAGAATCTGCATAATTCAGTTTGCAACAAAAACTCATCGCAATATTTTTTTAATTTGAGTCGAAAGAAAAAGACTTTTTTGTGAAGCTCACCAGCATTGGATCCTACCTTATTGCACTTTCCAATTCTAGGATTTTTTTTGTGGTTTTGGTGCTTTCCCAGAAACAGGGGTTTGTAGAGAAGTGGTAGTAGTAGCTTAAGTGTATCTTCCTCAAGATGAGCTAGCCCAATATGGGATATGTGATGATGATGTTTACTCAAGAAGAGTGACTGATAACTGGAGATAATTCATGAAAGGGAAGATTAATCGGACTAGGTTTTACTTCAACCAAGCCGAAAAAGGAGCTTCCAAGCTTGACAAAGATAGCCTATGGCCAGTATGTTCATATTTAAATTTCAAATCTTTATTACTCCATTATTTATCCCAAAAAAGTTAATAAAAGTGTATGTTTTTAATACACATGCATCTGTTATCTCAAATCTTACATTTATTTTTATTTATGTTATTGTTTTTTCCAGCTTTCAGGTGTTGCTATCAAGCTTGTTGGCAATACAGTGTGGAGTGCCCTCTTTCATCAATTCTTGATAGTGATGTCACGTGAGATATCATTTTTCTTTTTGTTAAACAAGTATTTATTATCATGTATTAGGTCAAACCATGGGTAAAAACAGCCTTGCCCCTGGTTCCGGGGTTGTCACAAAATACTTGACTTTTTAACTTTGTTTTTGGTTTCATTTAGTAATAATCCTTCTGAGGGGTTGTTTGTTGGGCTACTTCTTTCAATGTCATTAACAACAGTGGTAAGTAAAATCTTACTACTATAAAACTCTTTTGCTTAAACCTACCTTATTGACCTGTAGTTGATTAAACATTAAATTAATTATGCAGGTTTTGAAGTTTTTGATAGAAAAGAATAGTGTTAATGCTCTTCATAGAAAAGTATGTTGGTATTTTAGGAAATTCGGCTAATAATTTAGTTAATTATATAAAAAATTGTTGAAATGTTACATTTGTCTAATATTGGAATGATTATTTGTATTATTACATTTATCTACTATTGGAATGATTATTTGTATAACATTAACTTTTGTGTAGTGCATTGTATTATTTGTAAATGGTATTTTATTTTCCATTACGTGACATGAAATGCAAATTTAATATGAAAATAAGTAAATCTATAAATAATTTTTTTTAAAAAAAATTTAAAATTACGATACACAAAAATGTGTGTCACCTTCATTTATGACATGGCCTTTCTTGACTGGGGCTTTCTTGATACGCATTGCGTGTCATTAACACGCGCGTCGCAAGGTTACGACACGCGAATGCGTGTCGTCTTCCTTTATGACAGGGCCTTCCTTGATACGCATTGCGTGTCGTAAAGGTGCGTCGTAATTGCGCGTCGTATATGCGCGTCGTAAATGCGCGTCGTCTCTCTTTATGACAGGGCCTTCCTTGACGCGCATTTGCGCGTCGTCTGAGCCTTTTACGACGTGCAATGAGCATCGTAAAATGCTGTTTTTCTAGTAGTGTTACTGCCTATAAAATGGTAGTTTAATGGGTGTCCACTCTCACCCACCACTTCCTTGACCGGTGGAGGGTTGTTAGCTGAATGGGTTTGACAGGACTAGAATTCTCCCATCATTAAAAGTATTAATGATAAATACTAAGTAACTAAACTCCTAATAAATACCCAATCTTAGTTACTTAGGAAAATGTGAATAAGGTGCAAATCAATGAAATTACACTTTGCACTTTGTTTAAGTCGGTTAGTGGAGCGTGTGTGATTAACCGGCACACTAACTCGTATTTAACAAGGTAGGCAAAGGGTAACTTAATGTTTATCATAGTATCGATGGAGCGTGTGTGGTTAACCGGCACATCAATTGAGGGGTAAACACTTAAGGGTACCAAGTAATTTGCATGGTTACTTCAAACCTTGTTTTGTGATCCTCGGCATTCCAGTCACAAAACTTGAAGGGCACACTCGAGATTGAAACATTCCATTGAACAGTTCAATGAATCTCAAAAGATCTAGGAGTTTCAAATCCAATTAAAACCTAATAATACATTTCGTTTATCTTGGTGGAAATTGGTGAATCATCATTCACATACCTTCAAATATTTTATAGCTTGGATTACAGCATCCCTCTTCTAAGTTATAAAATAGTTTGTAGGGTCCTAGCCTTAATATTTCATATTGGGTGTCATATTAAGGACTTTAGATCAACTATCTTGAATATCTCCCAAAATATGTCTGGTTTAGACATCTATGATCTTCCCAAATCTCTTGAAACAAGCTTTCCTAAATGAAGATGATGTCCCATGGAAATCATACTTCTTTCACCTCCTCCAATTATTCTCCCTAACCCACAAGTTCTTGAAAATTTTAAGGTCACTCAAGCCCTATTGGCAAGTAAAGGTTTATGTGTGATCACATCTTGGAGATGTAGTTACATATTGACAAGCCGGGAGAGTTGGGTGTCAAAGTCTTAACAAAGTTAGTAGCTGAATCACTTTCTAAGTCACATAGTGAGCTCCTTTGGGACTCCTATGAAACAGAATATGACAAGACCCTTAATGATCTTATCTATTTGCTAAGATCAACTTCCTAGAACTTTTTGGACACTGATAATGAAGACATTGGATATCTAGTAAAGCTCACTCTTCCTAGTGAAAAGGGATCAGCCATAGTCAACTCGGTTGACCAAATGGTAAAGAGAAAAGCTAAGTCTGAGATAGTACCATTACCTAAACGTCCATATGTTTAATTGCCAAAGGAAAGGGCATTGGTTGCGAAGGTGCCAAATTTTACCTAAGGATGTTAAAGTCAATAAGTTTGACTCTACTTCAGGTAAAGTCCACTATCTAACTCTGCTAAGTTTCTATTATGAGATTCTCGATACATGATTTGACCGGGTCACATGGTGATGTTTTAAGAATCAAAGAAAAGTAAAGAAACTTAAAGAAATAATATGTTAAATCGGATCGCGTAGATGGATTTCTATCGCATAGTTTGTAGATTTGATTCTTGAGCTACTTCTTAGGAGTTATGAGATATTTCTTAGGAATAGATAACAACAAGTTTTCATATGGATTGTAAGGATAAGTTTTTCCGCAAAGTTTTAAAATAAAAGGAAAATTTCTGATTTTATTATTTTTTAAAATATCCTTACAATGGCATCTGTGAAAATTTTTGTTGCTTATTAGATTCCGTTAATAGCAAGAGTGGAAAATATGAAATTGATTCTTTCATTTTTGGTAATGTCTAAATTTACCAAATAAGGAAATATTCTCATCACCCAAATTTCAATTGGACCGGAACTAGGAATCATGAAAGTTGTGTGGCATGATGAATGAGAACTTTCAAGTATTGGAAAATTAAGACTAATTACTTGTTGACATGGATGTGTGAGTCATGTAAAGGACTAAGGGATCGAGTACACATTCTTGTGCACTGGTCAAGTCCACCACAAAAGACCGATAAGATTATTCGTCATTATTTACTAAAGCTCAGTAAATATGGCTATACTTACAAGCTTAAGTGTAATTCTGAGACATTGGAAAAGGTTCCAATATATGACAGAGCGAATAAGAAGAATCAAATTAGGCAGAAGGATAAAAGTTTCTCAAATCTGAAAAGATGGGAGAGTAGTTTAGTATCAGTTTTTATGATCATCTTAATGATTTAGAGACCTTATCACAATTCATCCTCTAAGTGCATTCTGATAGCTAAGAAGAGGAGCTGTGAATTGTTGAAGTGGTTAAATCAAGAAGATGATTCATACTTCATTCCAAAAACAATTCTTAGAGTCATACTCCAAGATTGTAACTTGAGTGGCATGTCTTAAAGAAGGTATAAAACACTTGTCAAATGTAAAAGTAAAAGTTTTCTACTCTTGTACATTTGAAATTGGTAAGTTGTGATGTTTTGGATAAAACAAAGATCAACTAAGGCCAATTGTGTGAAGTGTTTGTCTTTATTAGAATCTCCACTATCTCTTGAATATCCGACAAGAGAGTCTTATATGTCAAGAGGACAGTGGGAGTCTTAAAGGTCTTGAAAGTCTCAAGAACTAATCAAGAATGAAACATGAAGTTCCTCACTAGCACACGACTTAAGGTTTATAACCTATCGTGTTGACATATTCTGTGCCCATTCCAATTAAAGTTGGCTTTGCATATGAGTTCTTAGAGTTCTCAATTGGTTGCACAACAACTTGGAAGCAATGGCATGCCCTTGAGCTGCCAGGTGGCAAGAAATTAGGATTGAGTTCAGTCCATATGAGTTTGGATTTGTCATTAACCTTTTCTTGTGACTTTGGCTTTGACAATTCACATGGATAAGAACAAATACACCATTAAATCTAAGTGTCATAAGGTTTCTCTCCGATTCATGAAAATGATGGTGAGGAAACACTTTCACTAAGTAGATTTTAGTTAGATAGCAATTGTGATATTTGCATTCTCAAAGTCGTTAGTGGAGCGTGTGTGGTTTACCGGTACACTAACTTGGACTTGTGTGAAGTGTCAAAAAGGTCTAAACCATTATGATTACGACATCCCTCTTCATAATTGGTTAGACACACCTATGAGCTATCTAAGGGAAGGTGTATGATTTTGATAAAGTTTTATCAAAACAATCTAGTATCAGAAATCTGAACTTTGGTAAGAAAGTCAGTTTTTTTCTGAGTACATGTCAAAGCTAGAGGGAGCATAAGTGTTATGCTAATAATCATCATGTTAGTGGGAGCATGATAATTATTATAAGTATTGTAAGCTAGCAATGTTAATTATAGAAAACTAAAGTTTCAATTGGGAAAGAGTTGTTTTGCTATAATTAAGGGAGAGGAAAGTATACTTCATCTCAAATTTAAAAGCTTAGACAGAGGTTTTAATCGTATTTAGTCAAGGATATATATATATATATATATATATATATATATATATATATATATATATATATATATATATATATATGAATTTCATGTTGGAATGGCTCAACATAAGGAAATTCTGTATATGGGTCCATTATTTGCATTCTAAAATTTAATTATGATTACGGCATCCCTTTTCATAATCTGAATTATGAGAACTTGGCAAATTGAAATGGAAATATTATAGCAAAAGACTGGTTTAGTCTTTTTGTGAGACATCATGAATCGTGTCCCATATGCTTCAGATAGAGGATCGATTACATGTGCTATATACTCATCCTTTCTAAAATTTTCCAAATGATTGGGGCATTAAGAAGAGAAACGGTTTAGAACTGGATATGACTAAAAGAATTAAACAATTATCGAGGACAGTCTATGGTTTACCTAAGATTGTTTGCTCAAGGACAGTTGGAAGTATAATGATAATTCTGGAAGGACCATATTGACATAATATGTAAGGAGGAAACTCTTGTCCAGAAGTGATAGTCAAAATGGAATATGGAAATGTTTCAAAGTTAGAAATTATTCAATCTGTGTAAGATTAGGAAATTTAATGCAAGAAGGATGTTTCCAAGGAGCTGATCTCCTTTGGAATACTCTGTAATGATTGTTGCCAAGTCTTTCTGACTTTTTTCATAATCATTACAAGAGGATCAGTGCATATAAGTTTAGAATCTAACAGATTTCAGTAAATGGCATGAATTTGGAATTCTTGCATTTGCAGTATGGATTTGGGACTGTGAAAGAGGATCATTGGAGTTATGTTCAAGTGATCTAATTCACAAAGTGAAGATCATAGACAAACATAGTATGCATACTTGGTGTACGGCATGACTAGTGTTTAGAAAACATAGTGTACATGCTTGGAGCATGGGATAACTATTTTTTTAAATTCAAGAATAAAGTTGATAGCTGAAACAATATACAATGAATCATGTGTAATCATATGCTGATAAATAATATGTGTTTTATTTATGTTCATAGGTATGGATACCATATTGGATTAAATTATTATTGTGTTTCACTTTGCAT